TGGAGCCGGAGTTTGTGGAGGCGGGCTCTCCTGCGCGTCACACGGCCGCCGTGTACCATCGTGGAGCGCACCGTGTGACGCCGCATCTGTCTATGACGCCACTGCAGCCCAGGGAGGACCCGAGAATGCGATCTCGTTACAGTCTGTGGCTGTGAGAATCTTGCAATGCCTCATGGGATTTGTAGTTCCACCACAGCTGGAGGGCCGGAGTTTGGCTACCCCTGCTCTACATAGTCCTAGGCCTGGTCCTGTCCTTCCCATGGACCAGCCTATGTTTAAGAAACAGTCTCCCTCCGGAGACTCTGCATACAGTCCTAGACTTCTGCTCCCCTGTACTGAACTCCACAACTGACTTCACTTCCCCTCTCGGGCGCCCCCTATACATCAACTCTCCTGGGACACAGAGTCTCCCCAGGCCAGAGCTGCATCTATCTCCAGGGCCCCATGGGGGCATCTAGTGGCCATTGGCCGTACTGCACCTACCTACAAGCATTTTAACAGGACAGGTTCCACTCAGAACAGGCCTCGCCATGGTCGACCAAAGCAGTTCACGTGCACGCGCTCAGCGTCATATCCAGAGGTAGACGTATGAGTGCTGCCAGCATTGCTGCAGAGGCTGAAGGGGTGGGGGGTCAGCCTGTCAGTGCTCAGACCATACGCCGCACACTGCATCAAATTGGTCTGCATGGCTGTCGTCCCAGAAGGAAGCCTCTTCTAAAGATGATGCACAAGAATCCCGCAAACAGTTTGCTGAAGACAAGCAGACTAAGGACACGGATTACTGGAACCGCGTCCTGTGGTCTGATGACACCAAGATAAACTTATTTGGTTCAGATGGTGCCAAGAGTGTGTGTGCGGCAACCAGGTGAGGAGTACAAAGACAAGTGTGTCTTGCCTACAGTCAAGCATGGTGGTGGGAGTGTCATGGTCCAGGGCTGCATGAGTGCTGCTGGCACTGGGGAGCTACATGCCAACATGTAACAGTCAAGCATGAAGCAGAGCATGATCCCCTCCCTTCAGAGACTGGGCCGCAGGGCAGTATTCCAACATGATAACGACCCCAAACACACCTCCAAGGCGACCACTGCCTTGCTAAAGAAGCTGAGGGTAAAGGTGATGGACTGGCCAAGCATGTCTCCAGACCTAAACCCTATTGAGCATCTGTGGGGCATCCTCAAATGGAAGGTGGAGGAGCGCAAGGTCTCTAACATCCTCCAACTCCGTGATGTCGTCATGAAGGAGTGGAAGAGAAGTCCAGTGGCAACCTGTGAAGCTCTGGTGACCTCCATGCCCGAGAGGGTTAAGGCAGTGCTGTAAAATAATGGTGGCCACACAAAATATTGACACTTTGGGCCCAATCTTTTTTTCAGATCCTCAGAGAGTTCTTCTACCGTGAGGTGCCATGCTGAACTTCCAGTGACCAGTATGAGAGAGTGAGAGCGATAACACCAACTTTAACACACCTGCTCCCCATTCACACCTGAGACCTTGTAACACTAACGAGTCACATGACACCGGGGAGGGATAAATGGCTAATTGGGCCCAATTTGGACATTTTCACTTAGGGGTGTACTCACTTTCGTTGCCACCAGTTTAGACATTAATGGCTGTGTGTTGAGTTATTTTGAGGGGGACAGGAAATGTACACTGATATACAAGATGCACAGTCCCTACCTTACATTGTAGCCAAGTGTCATTTCTTCGGTGTCGTCACATGATATGATATCATCAAATATTTAAAAAAATGTGAGGGTTGGACACTCACTTCTGGGAGATACTGTATATGTGATGGTCAGGTGTCCACCAACAATGGCCATATGGTGTACATAATCACATACAGTGTAGGATATATGGTGGTGCCCTTCTTTTGGAAAGCCTTCCCTGAAGAGTGGAGGATGTTATAGCCACCAAGGAGGTTACAACTCCAGAATAATAGCCATGGGGAAGGAGCAACTGAATATTAATGGCCATTGTTTTGCAATGGGATGTCCAACAAGCCTATATACATGTGATGGTCATGTGTCCACCAACAATGGCCATATGGTGTACGTAACAATCACATACAGTGTCGGAAAGATGGTGGTGGAAGCCTTCCTGGAAGATCGGAGGATGTTACAGCAACCGAGGAGGTTACAACTGCAGAATAATGGCCCTGGGGAAGGGGCAACCCCATATTAATGGCCCTGGGGAAGGGGCAACCCCATATTAATGGCCCTGGGGAAGGGGCAACCCCATATTAATGGCCGTGGGGAAGGGGCAACCCCATATTAATGGCCGTGGGGAAGGGGCAACCCCATATTAATGGACGTGGGGAAGGGGCAAACCCATATTAATGGCCATTGATTTGGAATGGGATGTCCAACAAGCTTGAATCCATGTGATGGTAAGGTGTCCACCAACAATGGCCATATGGTGTACGTAACAATCACATAGTGTAGGAAATATGGTGGTGCCCATCTTGTGGAAAGCCTTCCCTGAAGAGTGGAGGACGTTACAGCCACCGAGGAGGTTACAACTGCAAATTAATGGCCATGGGGAAGGGGCAACTCCATATTAAATGTTCATGGTTTTCGACATAAAATGTCCTACAAGCTCCTACCGGTAAGATGGTCAGGTGTCCACCACGGTGTGTGTAACATCCTACACCAGGGGTGGGCATCCTCGGCACGCCAGCTGTGGCGAAACCACAAATCCAACCATGCCTCTGAGTGTCACGCCTGTGGCTTTCAGAGCCTTGCAATGCCTCATGGGACTTGTAGTGGCACAACAGCCGGTGTGCCAAGGCCGCCCGCCCCAGTCCTACATCCAATTTTGTTTTTTTCTAAAGACTTACTGAATATCTGGCGGCACAAAAACACGGCACTCGGCAAGCGTTTTATTTCGGCGTCTCGAAGTCGGATCGTATAAAAGAAGAATTCGGGATTCTGAAAAAGCTCAAACGTTTATTTCCTAGTCAGGTTATTGGAATTTAGAATCCGCGTCCGTGATTTGGGACCGTCTGGAATTAGAAAAAGAAGTCGCATAGAAGTTTTCAATACGGAGCCACCGAAATAATAGAAACCCCCCCTCCCCCCCCAAGACATAAACAGAATGAAGCCTCCAGTAACGATACAAGGTACCCGGGGGCAGAACTCCAACGGGATACATCCCATAATACACTGAGAGATCCCGCCCCCGAGGAGTACAAAGATAACGGAGGAAGTGGTATAGCTCAAAGCGCAACTGAACTTTCACTGAAAGCAGCCGAATACATTCCAAGCGCATCAAAACCTAAAGGTGTGCAAAGCCAGCATGCTGCAAAGAAAGGACCCTTACTCTGTGGGGATGGGGGGAAAGCAGTGGTCTCTCTGCTGAGGTTGTGACATGTCCCCTGATGAATCAGAGCTAGAGTTCTCCAATCAGCATAGAGTGAGCTTTGCTGGAGAGCACTAGCTCATACACAGCAGAAAGGCCATGGTGGACCTCTGCAGAGACACCACTGCTTCCCTACATACAGGAAAGGTCTCCCTACAGCAGGGGTAGCCAAACTCCGGCACTCCAGCTGTGGTGGAACTACAAATCCCATGAGGCATTGCAAGATTCTCACAGTCAAAAACATGACTCCCGGAGAGAGATGCATCATGGGATTTGTAGTTTCACCACAGCTGGAGGGCCGGAGTTTGGCTACCCCTGCCCTACAGCATGCTGCACAGAAGGACCCTTGCTCTGTGGATGGAAGCAGTGGTCTCTCTGCAGAGGTTGCGACATGTCCCCTGATGAGTCAGAGATCTCCAATCAGCAGAGTATGAGCTTTGCTGGAGAGCATACACAGCAGAAAGGCCATGGTGGACTTCTGCAGAGACATCACTGCTTCACTACATACAGGAATTGTCTCCCTACAGCATGCTGCAGAGAAGGACCCTTGCTTTGTGGGTGGAAGCAGAGGTCTTTCTGCAGAGGTGCGACATACCCCCCGATGAGTCAGAGCTAGATATCTCCAATCAGCAGGGAACATAAGGGTTTGTTGCTTGCAGAGCTCTAGCTCATACACAGCAGGAAGGCCATAGTGGACCTCTGCAGAGACACCACTGTTTCCACACAGAGGAAAGGTCTCCTTATAGCATGCTGCAGAGAAGAACCCTTGCTCTGTTGGTGGAAAGCAGTGGTCAGAGCTAGAGATCTCCAATCAGCAGAGAGTGAGCTTTGCTGGAGAGCTCTAGCTCATACGCAGCAGGCAGGCCATGGTGGACCTCTGCAGAGACACGACTGCTTCCATACATACAGGAAAGGTCTCCCTACAGCATGCTGCAGTGAAGGACCTAGAGATCTCCAATCAGCAGAGAGTATGAGCTATGCTGGAGAGTTCTAGCTCATACACAGCAATAAGAGCATATGTTGGACCTCTGCAGAGATACCACTGCTTCCATACATAAAGCAAGGGTCTCTCTCTACAGCATGCTGGCAGGGGGCAGACTTTTTTTTTTTACTCGGGCCGAGACTGCTTTATAATACAGAAAATGACCTGTGAGACTTTGCATGTCTTCAGTCTTCTGGGTTGGCTGACGCCCAGCATTATTCATCCTGGAAGACCGAGAACATACCGTGAGTGCGGGGCGTCATGGGCCAGCCCCTTGAGGGGGGTCGCCACGGCACCCTGTACTTGCAGTGTAAAGATGCAGAGAGTGGCGCTCTCTGCATTATTATGGATCGCCCACCACCAGGAGAGGATCTGAAGAGGACCCTGCAGGTCAGTTAATGACCTCTGCAGAGAGACCGCTGCTTCCACACGGTTTTTCCTTTTGTTTTGATGCGTCTGGAATGTATTTGGTTGCGTTTGCGCTGAAAGTCCAGATGGGCTTCAAATGCGTTTCTTGGCACAAAAAAACAAAACAGTGTCCTCGTTAGGAAAGTCCTCCTGCGTTACATACAGTGATGACGGCCGACCTCCCGAGACAGGAAAATACCTCAATTTAAATATATAATTTATTAATTTTTTTTCTCATTGAAGGCGCAGCGCCAACCGCAGCCGTTCCCGATCCGTTTCGGGACCGCCGCCTTCGCACCTCCGTGGAATAGAGGATCACACGAAGGCCGCAGGAGTCGTTGGCTGTGTGCGGAAGTGGCCTCCACCCGGTGAGAGATAAATATAGAGTCTGGATCTTGGTTGGCCATCTGTGCTATATGCTTCAGGACGTCCTTCTTCGTAATGATTCCCAGCAGTCTCCTGGAAGGGAAAACAGGAGGTCAAACAGGAGGTCAAACAGGAGGTCAAACAGGAGGTCAAACAGGAGGTCAAACAGGAGGTCAAACAGGAGGTCAAACAGGAGGTCAAACAGGAGGTCAAACAGGAGGTGTGGGGGGTTTCACGTAATTTTCAGGTCACAAACTGCACATTTTAGGCCTCAGGACCCCCTGAACCAGGGGGTGCTCAGGGAGGGCCCTGAACCCGGGGAGTGCTCAGGGAGGGCCCTGAATCCGGGGGGTGCTCAGGGAGGGCGCTGAACCAGGGGGTGCCCACGGCGCTGAACCAGGGGGTGCCCACGGCGCTGAACCAGGGGGTGCCCACGGCGCTGAACCAGGGGGTGCCCACGGCGCTGAACCAGGGGGTGCCCACGGCGCTGAACCAGGGGGTGCCCACGGCGCTGAACCAGGGGGTGCTCAGAGTTGAGCACTTCCAGGTTCATCCTTCACAGAGGAGATCAGAGAATGAATGTTCACTCAGCTCCAGCTGCTCTCTATTCATTCATTACAAGAAAACATAAACATCCAACACATTCCAAGGACTCAAACATTATATGTGATCCAAAGGACTCAGAAGCGGCACAGTCCCCAGGGTTCATGGTCTGGATGTGAACACTGCAGCGTGCCCAGCATGAGTTTAGCAGCAAACCTAACCTCCGAAATGCATGGGCAGTTTTATGTTTTCTTGTTATGTATCAACCAGTCTATGAACTCTTTGGTCTGTCACTCTCATTAGTCCAGGAGTGGGCAAGCTCGGCCCTCCAGTTGTGGTGAAACTACAAGTACCATGAGGCATTGCAAGACTGACAGCCACAGGCAAGACTCCTGAAGGCAGAGGCATGATGGGATTTGTCGTTTCACCACAGCTGGAGGGCCGAGGTTGTCTAGCCCTGCATTAGACTTTCTACACATGGATCCTAAACCTTGGGCTCACGATTTTAGGGGTACACTGGTTAGACATCGACCTCACCTTTACCATACAAGGTCCAGTACCTTGTATGGCAAAGGTTATAGGTTAAATGACAGAGGTCGCGACCCTTCCTTACTTCCTATAAAAGAACTCACCCATTGTGTGTCACCAGACACTGACGCAATCCCAGCTTGCGGAAAATGTCCACCACGATTTCCATTGGAGTCTGGTCCGTGATGGTAAAAGGACTGAGGTCCATGATGGAGCGGAGTTTTACGCTAGGAGGTGATGTCGGAGGCTGGGGAGGGGTGTGTTCCGTGAAGTATATCCTCGAAGTGCTCACGACGCCATCTTGTTTCTTCCTCGCACTCTCTGCAAAATGAAAAGGAAAAAGGTTACATCAGGCTGGTGTCCGTTATATCTGACCTCCGGCCTCCCCTTCAGCCTTCTACCTGACCTCCCGTTCAGTCTTCTACCTGACCTCCGTCCTTCCCTTCAGTCTTCTACCTGACCTCCGGCCTCCCGTTCAGTCTTCTACCTGACCTCCGGCCTCCCGTTCAGTCTTCTACCTGACCTCCGGCCTCCCGTTCAGTCTTCTACCTGACCTCCGGCCTCCCGTTCAGTCTTCTACCTGACCTCCGACCTCCCCTTCAGTCTTCTACCTGACCTCCCCTTCAGTCTTCTACCTGACCTCCCCTTCAGTCTTCTACCTGACCTCCCCTTCAGTCTTCTACCTGACCTCCCCTTCAGTCTTCTACCTGACCTCCCCTTCAGTCTTCTACCTGACCTCCGGCCTCCCCTTCAGTCTTCTACCTGACCTCCGGCCTCCCCTTCAGTCTTCTACCTGACCTCTGTCCTTCCCTTTAGTCCTCCTGGGCTGAAATGTCTTCCTCTGATATCGCTGCACACTGGGAGCTTCTCACAATGTGCATTAGAAGCTGCAGCAAGTCAGATAGAGCTCCGCCTCATTTCCTGGCTGGAGGATGTCCAGCATCCTCTGGTCCTTCCCTCCCCAGCCTGATTGTCCCTGGCCCCGCCCCTTTCATTCATTGGATTTTTAGTTCTTTCAATCATGGAGGCTCAGCATCACACGTGGGTGGTCTGCATGCAAATACAGCCTGCCTAGGAACACCCATTTCAGAGTGACCACCTACCAATAAAATGGCTTTGATATTTGCATAACCCCTCCCACTGCTTGCATCAGCGCTGAGGGCTCTTATGAGGAGAACTGAGGCAGGGTGCTGTGATGTTCAGGAAGCTATGTACAGCACCCTGCTGGACCCTCCCACTTGGGGGTGGGACCAGACCCTATAAGTCTTACTGAACTGCAAGAGAGAAAAATTAGGTCTCCTGCCCTACCTGCTGGACCCCTCCCACCTGGGGGTGGGACCAGACCTATGAGTGTTGTTAAACTGCATGAGAGAAATATTAGGTATTCTGCCTTGCCAGGCAGGACTGTGCTGTTGAGCAGAGCTGTGTAAATCCCATGACTGGGTGCACAAATGCAAATCCTTTGTGCCGCTCCCATATATGCATTTAATTTGTGTGAAGTTCAGCTTTATTGGTGCACAGGACCAGGCTATGGGCCAGAACCAATCATACTGCACATTGGATTTAAAATGAAGACGTACCTTCCGGAAATATGGAACATCATTTACACATAAGAAAGAAATGTATCCCAATGGAGAAAACAAGATGGTAACTCACCGAGGGAGATGATCAAGTCTCTTCTCAGCACGAAGCCCACCAGCCTCTGAGACTCTCGGGACACCACAATGGGAAAGCCGCTGTAGGTGGTTTCGCTGATGGCGGCCTCGACGTCGGCCACCGTCATACTGTCCTGAGTGATGACCGTCAGGGACGGGTCGTTACGCCGCGGGCGCATGACGTCCATGGCCAACGTCTTATGGCCGAACTCTTCTTTGGCTTCCAGGAAAGGATACCCGTTCAAGTGGATGTGGGCGTCGTAAATGCTCTCCCGCCCCAAGGCGTCTGCCACCCATTTGCTGGTCATGGCCGCAGCCATTAAAGGCACGATGTATTCCAGTCCACCGGTCAGCTCAAACATGATGACCACCAGGGAGACCGTCATGCGGGTGGCTCCTCCTGCAATAGACAGACATGTGGAAAGGTTGGAAGCTTCCATCGCTAATAATATCAAGTCAATAAAAAGCATACAAAGTGTTCCCCTCTACCAACCACAAATGACTCCAAATCGACATGACAAATATTTGGGTGTCAGAATAAACCTGGAACATTTACGGTTCCCCTTAAAGTGAAGCTGAGTCCAGGCTACGGATGTTAAATAATTTACATATTCCAGACACTGACCTCTGTAGCTGCAGGCAAGGGAGAGCAATTCATCCTCAGCTCCCCCCTCCTAACAGTTCAGCTCAACCAGCTTGCCCCTCCCTGCAGCTCGGCTTCCCCTGCTCCCCCCCTTCAGAATTAACCTGGCATCTAAGCTTACCCTTCTCCCCCCAACCGAGAGTGACTAAGCAGCTCAGCTCACCATGCTTCCTCCTCCCAGCAGTGACTCAGCAGCTCAGCTCACCATGTTTCCCCTCTTCAGTATTGACTGGGCATTTAAGCATACCCTTCTCTGCCCCTCCCAGCAGTTGAGATCACCCTGCTTCTGCTCCCAGCAGTGACACAGCAGCTTGGCTCCCACTGCTCCTCTTCTTCAGCATTAACTTGGCATCTAAGCTTACCCTTCCAGGAGTGAAACAGCAGCTCAGCTCCCCCATCTCCCTCCAACCAGCAGCTCAGATTACTCTCCTTCCCCCTCCCAGGAGTGAACCAGCTCACTCTGCTCCAGGCTGCCATCACAGACTCTGCAGCTCACCCCACCCTACTACCCCCTCCAAGCAATTTCTAAGCAGCTCAGCTCACTCTACTGGGAGGGGAGAGGAGAAAAAGCATGGTCACTGCAGGGAGAGGGAGCATGGTGAGTCATCGCTGGGAGGGGGAGAGGAGAAAAAGCATGGTCACTGCAGGGAGGGGGAGCATGGCGAGTCATTGCTGGGAGGGGGAGAGGAGAAAAAGCAGGGTCACTGCAGGGAGAGGGAGCATGGCGAGTCCTTGCTTGGAGGGGGAGAGGAGAAAAAGCAAAAGCTCTGACACTTCAGGGAGTGACACAGCTTGCTGCCAAGCTCGGCTTCCCCTGCTCCCCCCCTTCAGAATTAACCTGGCATCTAAGCTTACCCTTCTCCCCCCAACCGAGAGTGACTAAGCAGCTCAGCTCACCATGCTTCCTCCTCCCAGCAGTGACTCAGCAGCTCAGCTCACCATGTTTCCCCTCTTCAGTATTGACTGGGCATTTAAGCATACCCTTCTCTGCCCCTCCCAGCAGTTGAGATCACCCTGCTTCTGCTCCCAGCAGTGACACAGCAGCTTGGCTCCCACTGCTCCTCTTCTTCAGCATTAACTTGGCATCTAAGCTTACCCTTCCAGGAGTGAAACAGCAGCTCAGCTCCCCCATCTCCCTCCAACCAGCAGCTCAGATTACTCTCCTTCCCCCTCCCAGGAGTGAACCAGCTCACTCTGCTCCAGGCTGCCATCACAGACTCTGCAGCTCACCCCACCCTACTACCCCCTCCAAGCAATTTCTAAGCAGCTCAGCTCACTCTACTGGGAGGGGAGAGGAGAAAAAGCATGGTCACTGCAGGGAGAGGGAGCATGGTGAGTCATCGCTGGGAGGGGGAGAGGAGAAAAAGCATGGTCACTGCAGGGAGGGGGAGCATGGCGAGTCATTGCTGGGAGGGGGAGAGGAGAAAAAGCAGGGTCACTGCAGGGAGAGGGAGCATGGCGAGTCCTTGCTTGGAGGGGGAGAGGAGAAAAAGCAAAAGCTCTGACACTTCAGGGAGTGACACAGCTTGCTGCCAAGCCCGCCCCCCGCCCCCCTCTCCACCAGCCCCCCCCCACACTAACTACATTCACATTAGCGCATCGCTATGATGGTCTGCCAATAGGAATGTGCAGGTGGCAAGAAGGGAAAGGGGGAGGAAGGGACAAGCTTTAGCACTATGAGGAAGTGTCTGAGCATTGCCTGTTACATAGAACTCTCTGCAACGCATGAAATGACATTGATGGGAGGACAGTACTCACCTAGGCAAGCAGCCGCCCCCACCATGGCATAAAGACCCGGCGTGATGCAGTCTGCTCCTTGGCTACACCACCCTTTGAAGATGAGCCAGTCGTGGTGGTGGAAGGCGAGCTGCTCCATGCAGACCCCCATGAGTCTTCCCATGATGGCGCCCACAGCCATACTTGGGATGAACAGACCTGAAGGCACCTACATACAAGAAACAGATGCTTTACAAATCATTTCACATGTAAATGTTACAGAGGTGCCCCCATTAAAAACATACCGTCCCGTCCCCTCGCCTTACCTTGATACCAAATGTAAAGATGGTGATGACCGCTTTAAATATCAATGCCAACGACAGCTGCCACAAGGCGGTGTAGACCCCGCTACGGGCCGAGCGGTCAGGCAGGTTCCCGACGTTGGTGCTGTTGAAGTCATTATTGTAATCGCAGAGCTTGGACGAGTCCAGCAAGCCGCAGTCATTGAAAAGCTCCGATATCAGCTCGCTGGAGCTCGTCCGGGTGTACTCATTCGGGAAAGCCAAGATGGCTGTAACGGCCGTGACCACCAGGACCTCCGTCACCGGATAGTGGCCCAGCCTGGTCGTCTTCCTTCGGCGGCACCAAGCTATGTTGCCACGGATGAAGAAGGCGCCCCACAGGCCTCCGAATATCCCCAGGAGGATGAAGGGGATGAGTTCGATGAGGTGCCAGGGAGTGTGGAACTCCACGTAGAACAGGACCAAGCGGCTGTTGCCGAAAGGGTTGATGGAACGCAACGTGAACGCGGCTACCAGTGCAGCAAAGAACGAACGCCAGAGGGTCTTCAGGGGAAAATAATAGCTCACCTACAACCAATAAAGAAAAGTTGTAACTATGGTGACGTCATTGTGGAAATAAATTAAATATTCTGTAAAGTCACAACAATCTAAAATAGTAATTTCAGACCTCACACTTACATGAACCAAGCTGTGTAGTTTCAGCGGACTCAGAAGCTCCAGAAGACTCCTGGCTGTCACTCAAGTGACACTATATGGTGTGCTGCCCCATGCAGTGACACTCTAAGGAGATGAGGGGGGGTTATGGAGATGGGAGGAGGGGTTATGGAGAGGGGTTATGGAGAGGGAGAGGAGGAGGAAGAGATGAAGAGGGGAGAAGATGAGGAGAGGGGATGAGACGAAGGGGTGATAGAGAAGTGGAGAGAGGATGAGATGAGGAGGGGTTATGGAGATGAGGAGGGAGAAGAAGAGGAAGAGGGGGAGAGATGAGGAGGGGTTATGGAGATGAGGAGGGAGAAGAAGAGGAAGAGGGGGAGAGATGAGGGAGAAGAAGAAGAGGAAGAGAGGTTATGGGGATGAGGAGGGAGAAGAAGATGAAGAGGGGGAGAAATGAGGAGGGGTTATGGAGATGAGGAGGGAGAAGAAGAGGAAGAGGGGGAGAGATGAGGAGGGGTTATGGAGATGAGGAGGGAGAAGAAGAGGAAGAGGGGGAGAGATGAGGAGGGGTTATGGAGAGGGAGAGGAGGAGGAAGAGATGAAGAGGGGGTATGGTATGAAGAGAAGAGAAGATGAGGAGAGGGGATGAGACGAAGGGGGTTATATGGAGATGAGGAGGGAGAAGAAGAGGAAGAGAGATGAGGAGGGGTTATGGAGATGAGGAGGGAGAAGAAGAGGAAGAGAGGTTATGGAGATGAGGTAGGGAGATGAGAAGGGTTTATGGCAATAAGTAGGGGGGGGGGGATGAGGACAGGTTACAGAGATGGAAGGGTAGGAGGTGAGGAGTCTATTTTCTTTGTAATCCATCAGAAATAAAGTAGGCAGGGCTGACACCCCATGCTTAGGAATTTAGACCTGTGTTGTAATGTGAAAGGGGAAGCTGGGCGGCGGTACCGGTATTTTTCTGTACTTGCAGTGAGTTTAAATGGATAACACATGGGGAAATGCGCACGTATTACAGATATGTACAACACATGTTTTCTTTAGTTTGCCATGACATACACTTTAAATGTACAATTACCTCCTCCAGACTGAAAAGGACTCCTCCAATGGGAGCCCCAAAGGCCACGGACACTCCAGCGGCAGCTGCAGCAGACAGCACCTAGAAAAAAAAGGGTACAGGGACAATCTAGTAATTGTGTATTGCAGGCAAAGACCCTCCAGACACAGAATGATGTACTAATATAAACCTACAAAACACCCATGATGTGTCACCCATGATTCCCGGCCAGGGGGTAGTTGCTGCTCTTATCCCCAACTACAGATCTTCACAATTTGGAATTCCCCTTTATGATGGAGGTGGAGAATCAATAAATCACCCCAAAATCTTGCTCTGTTGTATGCTTTACCTCTCTCCTCTTGGCTTCATTTTTGCGGTACTTGGTGAAAAGGTGGCACAGGATGTTCCCACAGCAGCAGGCCACATGAATGAGGGGTCCTTCCTTCCCCAGGCTAAGGCCAGACGATACAGCCAGCACCAGAGTCATGGTTTTGATGATCAGCGTCCACTTGCCCAAGTAGCCTCGGATTATGAAACCACTCAATATCGTTTTAATCTAAAACCAAAAAAAACACATGCAACTAAATCAGTAGGGTGACAACTTATACACATGTAGAACCTCCCTCAGCAGCGATGGAATGATGTGGGACGGGGGCTAAGGGCTTAACTTCTTGGCTCTGGAGCTAAGTCCTGCTCATCATCCTCCCTACAACAAGACCTCCATTACTGGCCACCCGTTGCGTACTCTGGAGCTAAGTCCTGCTCATCATCCTCCTGACAAGGAGACCTCCATTACTGGCCACTCATTGCGTATTCTGGGGATAATTCCTGCCCATCATTCTCCTGACAACGAGACCGCTATTACTGGCCACCCATTGCGTATGGGGGCTAAGTTCTGCCCATCACCCTCCCTACAATGAGACCGTCATTACTGGCCACTCATTGCGTATGGGGGCTAAGTCCTGCCCATCATCCTCCTGACAACGAGACCACCATTACTGGCTACCCATTGCATATGAGGGTTAAGTCCTGCCCATCATCCTCCAGACAACGAGACCACCATTACAGGCCACCCATTGCGTATTCTGGGGTTAAGTCCTGCACATCACCCTCCCTACAACGAGACCGCCATTACTGGCCACTCATTGCGTATAGGGGCTAAGTTCTGCCCATCATCCTCCTGACAACGAGACCGCTATTACAGGCCACCCATTGCGTATGGGGGCTAAGTTCTGCCCATCACCCTCCATACAACGAGACCACCATTACTGGCCACTCATTGCGTATAGGGGCTAAGTCCTGCCCATCATCCTCCTGACAACGAGACCGCTATTACTGGCCACCCTTTGCGTATGGGGGCTAAGTTCTGCTCATCACCCTCCCTACAACGAGACCGCCATTACTGGCCACTCATTGCATATGGGGGCTAAGTCCTGCCCATCATCCTCCTGACAACGAGACCGCTATTACTGGCCACCCTTTGCGTATGAGGGCTAAGTTCTGCCCATCACCCTCCCTACAACGAGACGGCCATTACTGGCCACTCATTGCGTATTCTGGGGCCAAGTCCTGCCCATCATCCTCCTGACAACGAGACCGCCATTACTGGCCACCCATTGCATATGAGGGTTAAGTCCTGCCCATCATCCTCCAGACAACTAGACCACCATTACTGGCCACCCATTGCGTATTCTGGGGTTAAGTCCTGCCCATCATCCTCCAGACGAGACCAACATTACTGGCCACCCATTGCGTATTCTGGGGCTAGGTCCTGGCCATCATTCTCCTGACAACAAGACCGTCATTACTGGCCACCCATTGCGTATGGGGGCAATGGCTTGGTATCAGCATTTCAAGGTTTTCTTTACATATCTATTTAAGGGATGAGTTCAGAACCCAGTTCTAACATGAGCTTCTCCGAACCCGGAAGGGACATGGGTCTCCCACTAACTCAGTTACAGCCCAGCCCTCAGCTGCACTTAACCAAAAGGGGTGGGATGCTTGTGATGGCACCATTGACCTTATATGCCCACATGTTCATATTTGGTCACTGTCATTGACCACATGTAGCCATATAAGTTCAATGACGTGACAGCAATCCACCCTTTTGCTTATGTGCAGATGTGGAGCGAAACTCCCCAGCTGCAGCCGATTGGGTGGCAGAGAAAGGAGCTTCCTTACAGATTCAGAAGAGCTCAGGTTTGGACCGAACTCGGCTCATTCTTAATCATTTTGGTGGGAAGGTGTCGCAGCTTGAAACCCGAGTTCTGCAAAAAGCCATATCAAATAACAGTGTCCGCCTCTTCCCAAATCTATATATTAAACTACAGGATGCACAACTCAACTAGAAAGGTGGGAACACCCAAGAACAACTACGCAACTTCAGAACTTGGCTTACCTCAGGAATACCGGAGCCACAGGCATATGGTGCAAAGTTACGGACTAACAAGACCGCAAGGAGGGAGAAGAGGAGAGCCCATAGTATATACATTATATATCTCAAGATATAAGGAAATGCCCCCTGAAAAAAAAAGGGTATTAGACCACAAATTAATATAGGAGATAGGTCATCAACAAAAACTGAGCAGAACTAAGACAATGTAGGCAACTGTAATCTTCCAACTTTGTAGTAACAGTTTGGTGAAGGCCCTTTTCTGTTCCACCATGACGTCCCCTGTGTACAAAGCCAGCTCCATGAAGACATGGTGTGACCAGCTTGGTGGAGGAACTCGAGTGTCCTGCACAGAGCCCTGACCTCAACCCTACTGAACACCTTTGGGATAAATTGGAATGGTGATTGTGAGCCAGGTCTTCTCATCCAACACCAGTACCTGACCTCACAAATGGGAAAAATTGCTATAGACACCCTTCAAATTCTTGTGGAAAGCCTTCAAAAAGAAGAGTGGAGGGTGGTATAGCCACACAAAAGGGGGCAACTCCATATAAATGGCCATGGTTTTGTAATGGAATGTCTAATTATCTCCTATAGGTATGATGGTCAGTAGTGATGAGAGAACTGGTCTTGACCTCAACCCTACTGACCACCTTTGGGATGAATTGGAATGGTGATTGTGAGTCAGGTCTTCTCATCCAACATCAGTACCTGACCTTACAAACGGCACAAATTCCCACAGACACCCTCCAAAATCTTGTGGAAAGCCTTCCCAGAAGAGTGGAGGCTGCTCTAGCCACAAAGGGGGCAACTCCATATTAATGCCCATGGTTCTGGAATGCTGGGCCCAACAAACTCATATGGGTCAATGTGATTGTCAATTCCAACGAGTTTCAGGAAGATACCCCCGCATGTATATCCATACAGGTAGCACAGACACCTTAATCCAATCGCCATGGAATGTGTCAAGGCAGATGTTGATTGTCCAAGAACAGAATGGGAGATGTTAAAGTTGTGGTGCCACCCTGTTCTAGCTACATAATCCCATCCTTGGTATCGGAAACTCTGTGTAGGTGTTAATCATTTGAGTTACATAACTGAAGGTGTGAACTGTTGTCAAATCTCCAGGGGTAGAGGTGTTACAAATGGCATTATATGTGGAAGTTAGATGGTATTGAAGGTTTTGATATCTCTACCTAGGTGATCCGACAACAATTCACATCGTTAGACATGTAAATGATTAAATGAACACCTATGCAGACTTCCTGACACCAAGGATGGAATTATCTATCTAGAAAAGGGTGGTATTCATTGGAACTGAAGAAGTGGCTTGCAGCAGCTATGAAACATCTTCAACATTACAGAACAAGTCCAGTTGAATGTGACTTACTGCTACGAACCATAGTGTGACCTGGATACATAAGAACCTTCAAAGACATACACTGGAGATAAGTCTTTGTGCTGCATTTAATACCAATGTATACTTAGATATCCTAATGTAACCTTTATGGATGCACCGATACCTATACTAGTATCTGTATAGGTGTCGATACAGAGTATTTGGATGAGTGCTCATACTCGCCCAAATGCTCCGATACTAGAACTTCTGGTCAGATGGAGCTATCCCTCTGAATGGCAGTGCCGAGGGAGCATGAAGCTGGCTTCCTTTCCAATCAGGAAGCCAGGCGGTTGGTTATGACCAGTCTTCCAGATTGGCTAGGAAGCCAGCTTCACTTGTTGGTAAGCAGCCTAACCAATCAAGTAGCCGGGTGGCACGTCATGACTCTCCTCCCTGCTTCTTGATTGGTCAAGAAGCCACGCTGCCCATCAACAAGTTAAACCGGCTTCCAAGCCAATCAGGAAGCCGGGAGGTGGGTCATGACATGCCGCTCAGCTTACTGATCGGCTAGGAAACCAGCTTCACTTATTGCTAGGCAACCTGGCTTTCCTAACCAATCGGGAAGCTGGGCAGCACATCATGACTCGCCTCCCGGCTTCCCGATTAATCAAGAAGCCAGACAGACTCGCCAAGTGAAGCCGGAACACCGTTTTCCCAGGCAATCAGGAAGCCAGGCGACGGGTCATGACTCGCCTGCCCGACTTCCTGATTATCGGGGCACCGGTACTCGCGAATACCGGAAAAAAATATCCGTCCTCGCACTCGATACCGAAAAACCGGTATCAGTGCATCCCTAGTAACCTTACTACCTACTATGCTGCGTTTGCTTATCTGCAATTTTATAATCGCAGACCAGAGTCAATGGACATTTTACCTGGATTCAAATGCTCCAAGGACAAACTGCACTTCAGTGCTCTGTTGGACTAAGTTCTTCGCATTTGGACTCAGGTTGGGGAGGAAGGGGGGTGAACAGGAGTACATGGAATTGTTAATTTTTGCATTTGCAAAACCTAACAATAATGTATCTGATAGAAAACCAAAGTCTCACCTCTGACTCTCCGAGTATTAATTGAGACCAATTTCTCCATTCCGGACATTCATTTCTGTCTTCAAACTTCACATCCCGAGAATTCCAGCAGCACTGCTCGTGGTTTAACCAGAACCTGCTCAAACAAATGCCCTCCTTCAGATCCGTCATCCAGTGCGCGGAAATGTCAATCAGACCGGCTAGGGAACCTGATATCAAAGTAGATCACACTGGTGAGTGTCAATCATTTCTGTCATATTCATGTGTATGAAAATAGAACAGAAAAACGTGCGTATTTTATATCTATTTATTCAAAACCTCTAATGAGCTTCTAGCACCAAGAAAAAAAAAAAATCACTTGAAGTGTATGTACACTAGGGATGCACCCATAACGGTTTTTCGGTATCGAGTACAAGTCCTGATTTTTTTGGGGGGGTACTCGACGATACCGAATACTGATAACAGTGCCCCGATTATCAGGAAGTTGAGTGGCGGCAGATCAGGACACGTCACCCGAATTCCTGATTGCCTGTGTGTTCTTAGAACACCGCCTTCACTTGCCGAGGCGCTGTTCGGCTTCCCGATTGGTGAGGAAGCCAGGCTGCCTAGCAACAAATTAAGCCGGCTTACTAGCCAATCAGGAAGCCGGGCGACATGTCATGACCTGCCTTCTGATTGGCTAGCAAGCTGGATTAATTTGTTCCTAGGCAGTCTGGCTTCCTGACCAATCAGGAAACCGGGAGGTGAGTCATGAGCTGCCTCCTGGTTTCCTGATTGATGAGGAAGCCAGGCTGCCTAGGAACAAGTGAAGCCGGCTTCCTAGCCAATCAGGAAGCCGGGCAACAAATCATGACCAGCCTCCCGGCTTCCTGATTGGCAAGGAAGCCGACTTCACTTGTTGCTAGGCAGCCTGGCAACAAGTGAAGCCGGCTTCCTAGCCAATCAGAAATGCTCCCTTGGCACTGCCGGTAAGAGGAAGATATCCCTCTGACCGGAAGTTCCGGTATCGGAGGTAAGTATCGCGGCATTTGTACTCACCCAAATTCTCGGTATCGGTGCATCCCTAATGTAAACCCTAACACACCCTAGTCATAACACACTTTGTGTCCAAGGGTGACAATGCAGCTCCTCTACAGATACAGTATGGTGATTGAGTTGGGTAAAATGCTTCAGAGGAAGAGGTCCAAGCCAGGGACTTATCCGGAACCCCTGCATTGAATGTTACTGGAGTGCTGCCTGCTTCTTTTTTCCTTTGGGTTTACAGGAAGTGCATTACTGGCAGGATCACCAGGTGAAAATAAAGGAGCAGAAGTCAGAAAAAAGAAAACGAATGCAGCCACGGCATCTACAGACTAGAAAGCTGCAATATAGGACATTTTTGTTCTTGGGTTTAGATACATTGTAACACCTTATGGACACGTAGTTATAGTTTTACTTCTTTTTCAAGGTACCTAGGAGGAATCTCTTACAAGAATGAATGGATTGGAAAGAAAACCTCATTCGGGGTATTCACCAGATGGCAGAAGAATTTCCTTGTTAAACACAACAAGGAAGTTCTACAGGAGGTCCATCGCCAGCTGAAACGGTTGGGTGTCCTTCTAGACTATAATCCTATGAACAATACATCTCTAAAATGAGGAAATATTACTGTAACATGGGTCTAAATTAAGGTAAAGTGAAAAGAAAAATGTGTCAATGTATAGTGAATAACACAACAGCGATCACACTACATGGCCAAACGTATGAGGACCCCTGTCCAAATTACAGAGTTCAGGTGTCTCCGGTGAAGGTTCTGTTGATGCTTCATCGTACAAAGACATTGTAGACAATTGTGCTCTTCCAAGCTTGTGGTAAAAGTTTGGTGAAGACCCTTTTCTGTTCCACCATGACTGCCCCGAGACAAGCCAGTTTCAGATAGACATGGTTTGGTATTAGCTCCTATAGGTAACATGGTCAAAACCTTGTGGAAAGCCTTCCCAGAAGAGTGGAGGCTGCTATAGCCACAAAAGGGGGCCAACTCCATATTAATGGCCATTGTTTTGGAATAGGAGTGTCCTGCAAGCTTATATAGGCATCACATCCCTTGATCGAGACCAAGCTGATGAAGGGGCTTCTCTTGCACCTCTCGTCCAAAAACCCCTGGAAATGGGGACAGGGAGTGTAAGGACGAGGGCCGGTGTAGCAAGTAGATTCTGTGAGTTCAGGTCCAAAGACAGGCGACAGTCGAGCAGCAGAAAGGTTGAAACAGAAGCAGAGCCAAGGTCGCAAGCCGAGGTCAACCGGCCTGGCAGTGAGGAACCAGATTGGAAGCAGAGCAGGCTTGGGGTCACAAGCTGAGGTTCGTAACAGCAGATCAGAGCAGTACAAGACAGAAGGCGAAATCTGGTAAGCAAGCTGAGGTCACAATAGACATGTAGAGTTCCAAAGAGAGGTCAGGAGGCAAGCTGGGTCAAACGCAGGTAACAAGAAAGCAGGTTGGGTGACACATAAGCAGGTAACTAACCCAACACCACTCAGCAAATTGTGTACATTACCCGCCTGACCATTAATGTGTGTCCTACACCAATCCGTGCGCGTGCCTGTACGTGTATTCCTCCGCGCTAATGTACGTTTGCCTACAGTTCTAAGCAGTCTGTGTGCTGGTCTTCTGAGACGTTTCTGACAATAGGTGAGATGGTCAGGTGTCCGCAAATCTTTGGCCATATAGTCTACTTAACACAGCAATTTCTCCTGCGTATTATTTTTTTTTCATTTAAATCACATCCAAAAATGTTCTCCATCAATCGGGTAACTTCCTTTACCTGCAAACAAACCGATCAGCAGCATCAACATCCACCCCGAGAACGCATCGCTGACACTGTGCAAAAGGGCCCATGTAGATTCTTTACTCTTGCTCAGGATCTGAAAAAAAATAACACATTTCATTACTATCATCTCCTGCAATGTATTAGAATTACACACATACACTATATTGCCAAAAGTATTGGGACGCCTTTACATGCACATGATCTTTAATGGCATCCCAGTCTCAGGCCGTAGGGTTCAGTATTGGGTTGGCTCCACCCTTTGCCGCTATAACAGCTTCAACTCTTCTGGGAAGGCGTCCACAAGGTTTAGGAGTGTGTCTATTGGAGATTTTTGGACCATTTGTGAGGTCAGGTTCTGATGTTGGATGAGAAGGCCGGGCTCGCAGTCTCCGCTCTAATTCATGTCAAAGTTGTTCTATCTGGTTGAGGTCAGGACTCTGTGCAGGCCAGTCACGTTCCTCCCCCCCAAACTCCCCCATCCATGTCTTTATGGACCTTGCTTTGTGCACTGGTGCGCAGTCATGTTGGAACAGGAAGGGGCCGTCCCCAAACTCCTCCCACAAAGTTGGGAGCATGAATCTTTACACTTGGCACAATGCAGTCAGGCAAGTACCGTTCTCCTGGCAACCGCCAAACCCAGACACGTCCATCGGATTGCCAGACAGAGAAGCGTGATTGGTCACTCCAGAGAACACCTCTCCACCTCTCTAGAGTCCAGTGGTGGCGTGCTTTCCACCACGGCATCCCACGCTTTGCATTGCACTTGGTGATGTGAGGCTTGGATGCAGCTGCTCGGCCATGGAAACCCATTCCATGAAGCTCTCTACGCACTGTTGTTGTGCCAATCTGAAGGCCACACCAAGTTTGGAGGTCTGTAGCCATTGACTCTGCAGACAGTTGGCGACTTCTGCGCACTGCGCGCTTCAGCATGCGCTGACCCCGCTCTGTCATTGTACGTGGCCGACCACTTCCTGGCTGAGTCGCTGTGGTTCCCAGTTGCTTGCACTTTGTTATAATCCCAGTAACAGGTGACCGCGGAATATTTAGTAGCCAGGAAATGTCACAGATGGACTTATTGCACAGGTGACAACCTATCACGGTACCACGCTTGTAGTCACTGAGCTCCTGAGAGCGACCCGTTCTTTCACAAATGTTTGTAGAAGCGTCTGCATGCCGAGGTGCCTCATCCTATACACCTGCGGCCATGGAGGTGATTGGAACACCTGAATCCAATGATTTGTAGGCGTGTCCCAATACTTTTGGCAATATAGTGTATATACATACACACAGGGCCACCGATAGGAGAGTTCAGGCAACCCTCCTGTACCGGGCCCCAGTGGGGGCCAGGGCTTCAGCCTGTCCTGTGACACCACAGGAAACCGTTTCCTGGTTTTCAGGGACACCGACCTCCAGGGTGCAGTGAACTGTCCTACATCAGTCCAATGGAAGCCATTGTGCAGTGACCAATGTAGACAACCAAGGTGTGGGCTTCATTGCTTCCAACCAATGAGGCTACAGTGGGTTTGGCCTTATCAAGCAGGAAGCTCACAGGTGGGTCTGACACTGTCCAATCATGTCTTGCCTGTTCATCAGGAAGAAAGCACAAAGGGACAGGGGAAGCAAGAACTGGGAGGGGAGGGCCAGGTCTCCTTCACCCTCATGCACAATGTACCTGAAGGACTACAAACCGGCATGGCTTCTGCTTAATACTACTTGCAGTGTGTGTTGGGATCAGTATGGCTGCAGCCTGATCCTCCTTTATACACTGTAGATGTACCAGCATGTTTCCTGTGTATGTGGGGGCCCAGGAAGAAAAAAGGGGTTCTAAATCTTCCCCGCTCTAGCCAAAACTTAAGAGGGTTTTGGCTCGACATTGACACTTACAGGTCTTGTCCCTCTCCCCGTCTGTGACTGGACAGTGATAGGAGAAGCAGTGGGCTGATAAGCTCATCTCTCCATCACTCTACTCTCTTCTCCTAACGGCGTGCTCTTTGGTAGCACAAATGAGCGAGTGCTTCTGCTGATGTGCATTTTTTAAAGGATAAATGGACTTGTAGGTCCTCCATTGGTCCCCCTGCATTGGTGGGCTCAGGGCCAGCTGTCCCCTTTGCCCCAATTGTTAATGTTGTCCTGCCTAAACAGAATCCTTGATATAAAAATGTATATTGCCATTAGAACAATAACAAGCAAAAAAAATATCTTACCTCTCGGTGCCGGTCTCGGTCTCTAGACTTCTCCCGCACCCAATCGATAGTGTTAAAGTCCTCATATGTCCCCACTCCTGGCACCTCCAGAAAATCCATCATTACCTTGTTGGGGCCGTGTAATCCATTTCCATTATATGCCGGAAAGCCTGTAGACAGACACAGCGATTATAGAAAAATCCAAGAAAAGGGGGATAACTTTGGGGTTCAACTCTTGGCACACAACATAAACAAATGCTTGGGGGGCACTTGACCATCACGCCTACGATAAGGCAAGAAGTATGTTGACCCCTCTATAAATGATGGAGTTCAGGTGTCTCCAGTGAAGGTTCTGTAAATACTCCATCATACAAAGACATTGTAGACAATTTTGTTCTTCCAGCCTTGTGGTAACAGTTTGGCGAAGACCTTTTTCTGTTCCATCATGACTGTCCTCTGTGTACAAAGCCAGCTCCATAAAGACATGCTGTGACCAGTTTGGTGTGGAGGAACTCGAGTGTCCTGCACAGAGCCCTGACCTCATCCCTACTGGACACTTTTGGGATTTAACTGGAATGCCGCTTGTGAACCCAACTCAATATTCCTGGCAAAGGGACACTCCATGGCAACGGCCATGGCAAAGGGACACTCCATGGCAACGGCCATGGCAAAGGGACACTCCATGGCAACGGCCATGGCAAAGGGACACTCCATGGCAACGGCCATGGCAAAGGGACACTCCATGGCAACGGCCATGGCAAAGGGACACTCCATGTCAACGGCCATGGCAAAGGGACACTCCATGTCAACGGCCCAGGCCGAAGGGACAAGCGATATCAAAGGCCATGGCAAAGGGACACGCGATATCAAAGGCCATGGCAAAGGGACACGCAATATCAAAGGCCACGGCGAAGGGACATAAGATATCAAAGGCCACGGGGAAGTGACACACGATATCAAGGGACATGCGATATCAAGGGACCTGACGAAGGGACACTCCATTATAATAGCCATGGGAGAAGGGGGCAACACCCCATTAATCGCCATAGGAGGAGGAACAACCTTACATTAATGTCCATGGTTTTGGAATGGAATTTCCAACAAGCTCATATATGGTATACAGCCAAATTTATGCGCAGGGGTGGCAGGTGCCCACAGGGATTTCAATAAGAAACTGGTGAAATTAGAGTAGTATATGGCCAGCTTAAAGATCAAGAGAAAAAGGATTTTGGGTTTGTATCAAAAAGGCAACATATTAGATCTATGGTGCCTATAAAGTAAGGAAAGGGGGAGGGGTGTAAGAAATGCTAGTAAAGATTACTCTGTTACATCTCTCTAATTCCCATTGTAGACCATTAGCAGGGTGACAATGCTCTGTCCCTGCTAGGGCTGCAACAACTAATCGACATAATCCATGATTGAAAAAGTTGTCAACTTTTTCAATCATCGATTAAATCGGCTTCCGATTGGTTGGCCCTGTTCACGGCTCCACACACACCGCACCTCCTCCCCACCTCACGTTTGCCGCATCCCCACATGGTGCTCTATAATGTATTGCTGGGATTTGTATTCCTCGATAGCTGATGGTACATGGTGCTGTATATTATACATAGGAATACAAATCCCAGCAATACATTATACACTGTATGTATAGTGTACTATTGCTGGGATTTGTTGTACTCCTCTATAGCTGGTGGTATTCTGCATTGTGCTGTATAATGTACTATTGCTGGGATTTGTAGTCCTCTATAGCCGGTGCCATTCTGCATTCATTGCTGTATAATTTTACACTTTCCATTTCACTATATTGCACACCACACTTTTGTTTTCTTTTTTACTTCCACCGCTCCAAGCTTGCTCCTGTGATGGACTGCAATCTCAATACAAACTAGTAGTCCCATCACTGGAGCCATTTTTTAAAATGTATTTGATTTTTTATCCGATTAATCGAACTTAATAATCGGCTAACTAATCGATTTTGAAAATAATCGTTAGCTGCAGCTCTAGTCTCTGCCTCCCAATTGTGCACCTGATTGTCACCCTGTCTCATAGACTCCCAAAGGAGACTACAAAAGGTCAATTGAACACATATCACACAGACCTGGTTCACTGTTGTCACCATCAGGAAACCTGATCTGAGAAATGCCATGGCAGCCATTGTCTGGAGTTTTGCATGCCCCTCTCTTAGTACAAAGGGAAAATTATCTACATTTCAGATCTCTAGGCTCACCTGCACCATCTTCCGTCATTTCGATCATTTTCCCTTACCGTCCTACCTGCATCCTGCACTATCAGATGCAAAACTTCCTGCTTCGACTAAAGGTTAAATCTCAATCCCTCCTCTTCCACTTTATCAATCATTCATTCTCCGCAATCCACTTAAGCACAAACAAATGAGCTCAAGTGTCCTAAAGCTGAACTCTGGCCAAACATCTCAATAAACAAATACAAATGCATATAAAAAGGAGCTGTTTTACCTATCAAAGGATTTGTATTTCTGTCCATCCAGTCTTGAGGTTTACACAGCTCTACCATGTACTACCAAAGCTCTGCTCCTCCATCCTGAACATTCCATGTACCACCAAAGCTCTGCTCCTTCATCCTGGCCATTCCATGTACTACCAAAGCTCTGCTCCTCCATCCTGACCATTCCATGTACCACCAAAGCTCTGCTCCTCCATCCTGACCATTCCATGTACCACCAAAGCTCTGCTCCTCCATCCTGACCATTCCATGTACCACCAAAGCTCTGCTCCTCCATCCTGAACATTCCATGTACTACCAAAGCTCTGCTCCTCCATCCTGACCATTCCTCGTAATATCAAAGCTCTGCTCCTCCATCCCGAACCTTCCATGTACCACCAAAGCTCTTCTCCTCCATCCTGACCATTCCTCGTAATATCAAAGCTCTGCAGCTCCATCCCGAACCTTCCATGTACCACAAAAGCTCTGCTCCTCCATCCTGACCATTCCATGTACCACCAAAGCTCTGCTCCTCCATCCTGACCATTCCTCGTAATATCAAAGCTCTGCTGCTCCATCCCGAACCTTCCAGGTAGTACCAAAGCTCTGCTCCTCCATCCCGATCATTCCTCGTACCACCAGAGTTCTGCTCCTGCATCATGACCATTCCATGTACCACCAAAGCTCTGCTCCCCCATCCTGAACATTCCATGTACCAGCAAAGCTCTGCTTTTGTCTGAACAATCTTTAATCAGGCAGCAGGTTTAATAAGTCTGCAAAGACCTTGGATCTGCCAGAGATGTAAAATAAATGCCACTGTTGGAGCACGCTGACCTAACGTGAATATGTAACTTATTAACAAGATTTGTTCATCAGTGAATAGAAAAGAACTCGAGGCGCTGAAGGCTTTCTTCTGGCTCAATGATTCATTGACAGCTTTCTATGCTTTGTGACACAATAAAAAGACAGTTCTGCTTTAACCCCCCCTAAATCCCGAGCAGCAGATTGACTTTATTACTAATATTATACAGGATCTAGGATATTATACAGCTTATATTATACAGATTATATGGATATTATACAGTTTGCACAGTGCCTTAGAAGATAAAGGGAGACATCATAGTAACAATACAATTCCATACAGGAGGGTTGGGGGAGCCCTGGTCATGAGAGCTTACAATCTAAAAAGGGAGAGGCAAGAGTTATTACAAAAAGGTAATAACTGTGTAGGGATGAGTTGATTGAGAAAGTAAAAGTTCAGTTGTTTGGTGGAGGCGGGATCGGATTTCCTGAAGAGAGTATTACGGGATCAGGAAAATGTGGACAGAGAAGGAAATAGCCGGACAGATTGGGGAAGGAAGGAGAGGCTCGAGAGAAGTCCTGGAGGGGAAGCATGGGAGGAGGGTTTTTTTTGGGAGGAGCGAAGAGGATGGATTGGGTGATATTTAAAGACGAGGTTGGTAATGTAGCTGGGGGCAGAGTTGTGGATAGGAGAAAGCCAGTGGAGGGACTGGCAACCAGGGGCGTGTAATGGAAGCCAGTGGAGGGACTGGCAAACAGGGGTGGGTAATGGAAGCCAGTGGAGGGATTGGCAACCAGGGGCGGGTAATGGAAGCCAGTGGGATTGGCAAAGAGGGGTGGAGGAAGGACTCCATGCTCCTTCGTCACCATGAAGCATGGAGCTGGCTTTCCCACCAATCAGGAAGCCGGGGGGCGGGTAATGGCTTGCCCCCTGGCTTCCTGATTGACCGGGAAGCCAGCTAATGCCCTGCCCCGCCCCCCTGGCTTCCTGATTGGCCAGAAAGCCGACTCCATGCTTCCTCGTCACCTGGTGACGAGGGAGCATGGAGCCGGCTTCCCAAATAATCAGGAATCCGGGCGGCGAGTCATTACACACTGCCTGACTTCCTTAATGGGACTTACGATATTCGGCGAGTACCGGAAAAAAAAAATATCGGTACTCGACACCTAAAAAACGTTATCACTGCATCCCTAGTAGAGGGTGGTGGGGGATGGAATCCAGTGGAGAGATTGGCAGATAGTGGCAGGGAGTGGAAACCAGTGGAGGGATTGGCAGAAGAAGTGGAGAGGAAAGCCAGTGGAGGGACTGGCAGAGGGGGGTGGTGAACACTAAGTGGTTGGAATGGTGGATGAGTCTGGCAACGGCATCCATAATAGACTGAAGAGAGGATAGTTTGTGTAGAGTTCGGCCAATGAGAAGGGAGATGCAATAGTTGAGGGAACCAGGGAGTGAATTAGTAGCTTGGTGGTATCATTGGTTGAGAAGGGGAGCAGGTTACAGAGAGGAAGCTAATCTGCGAGTGATTGGATGTGGGGATGAGATAAAACAGGCATAATATTTACCTTGAGGCATATCCCGGTCAATAGGAGGGACATCATCGGACAGATTAAAGTCGAGGGACCCCTCCGTAATCTCCACCATGTCTTCATCGCTGGTGCTGCTCTGGAAGCTGTTGAGGCTGGCTCTTGAGAATCCCTTGTTATCCATCCCCAAACGTACCCGAAATAGACTTACACAGCTGACAATCTACAAACAGAACACAGGGAAGAGAGAGACAAGTGACTACTTTTTTACTTTTTGCTATAAAACCCTCGAAGTAAGAAGCAAATATGAATGCACAGCAGCGGACTGCAAGTGAACAAAGTCCGCTCACAGTAATATACATTTTTTTGCACACAGGTAACT